TAATTGTGTGCGCTTTCATTGAATATTTCATTAGGAATATTGGATGCTTTCATTGTACTTTTTATAATTAATGTTGTGCAATTTCAATAAATATCTCATTCCCTAGGTCAGGTGTATTCATTGCCTCTTTCATAATTAATGCTGTGCGCTTTCATTGAATATTTCATTATCAATTCTGGGTGCTTTCATTGTGCATTTCAATAAATATTTCATTAGCTAGGTTATATGTATTCATTGCTTCTTTCATAATTAATGATGTGCACTTTCATTGAATATTCCACAGCTTTCATTGGGATTTTTCATTGAGTATCTCAATATTTCATTCCAATTTCATATCTGCCCCCAGGGATATCATTATGATTTTTCATTATATTCCATGATAGCAATGAAATAGCTATTACAGTCCATCCAATGGGTCATTGGGAGGGTGGTCACATGACAAATTTCCAAAAATGGTAAAAAAACAAAAGTTGTAGCTCTTTACCATAGCTTCCAGAATCAGTTGGAATTATGTCCTAAAGTGCTTCCATTGTGGAGATATAAGGTAAAAGGTTTTCAAAAGCGCTGTGTTTTTTTTTGTTTTTTGCATTTTTCTTCATGAAAAGAACACTAAACAACATGATTTCAACAGATTTAAAAAGCTAAGAGAAGGGGCTACAACTATTGTATCGTGGGAAATTTCTCCCAAAAAGGAAGGTACATGCCCTAAAAGGGTAATTGACACTGACAGACTACAAAAGTAATTTATAGCCTACAAAGTTTACTAATAGACTACAAAAAAGACTACAAAAGTTGGACATAGACCACAAAGGTCAGACAAAGACTACAAAAATTAGTAGTGTCTGCCGCTTTTTGAGACTACAAAAATTAGTAGTGTCTGTTTTTTCAGACTACAATGGTTTGTAGTGTCCGCTTTTTGAGACTACAAAAGTTAGTAGTGTCTGCTTTTTCAGACTACAATGGTTTGTAGAGTCCGCTTTGTTCATTATAAAAGTTAATAGTGTCCACTTTTTGAGACTACAATGGTTTGTAGTGTCCGCTTTTTTCATTACAAAAGTTAATGA